AAGATTTGTTTACAAACTAGCTGAAACCACAAAATCATTAGACTGAATTGCTGAGAATTACTCCCATTATCAGCCTTTGGATAATGCACTTGACACTACTACAATACGCATCACCTAAAGAGCTGTGTGTTATTCTTGTCCTTTTTTTGGGAACTAAAAACCTACAAAGTAGAACAGTGATTGTAAAACATTTTTGTGCAGTCAGGTTAGATATCACTAGTGCCAAACCCTAGAGACACTAAAGAGAAACCATCTGTGTGGACCTCATCTTAAATTTTGATTCATGTCAGTGCTAATCTGTAAAACAATGTAGAATTTACCTCAAAACAATGTTTTCTATAAGTGATATAAAGGATTTTTAGGTTATTCTTAATATATAACCCTATTAACAATTCAAGTATCCCAAAATGAATATGATAAATTTGTACAAAAATGTACAGCAATATCAAACTTAATTCTCCATCTGTATTTATGCTTAATAGCATGTAAATGAATTACTTTTTATTCACATTTAGTTAATAAAAATAAACTTTAATTTATATAGCAATTTTAAAAGTAGCATCTTAAAACTCTTTACAGTGGCTATAAAAAACAAAATAGGTAAAACAGAAGAAAATAGTTATATGGATAGCAAATTCCAAAACAATCTCATATAAGATTGACAAGCGATTAGAAGTGTAGCAGAAGACACTTGGTCATTAAAAAATGGAGAAGACACAGACACTAATTAAGTAAAAGCCTTTCGGAAAAGGCTTGAGTCTTTAAATACATTCAGGAAAGGTGGCTCTCTGATATCCTTGGAAATAGAATTCCAATAAAATATTCCACAGAATTTGGGGAGCAGTAGGAGAAAGCCCTGTCATCCATAGAATGTAGATGGTCTTGGGGAACATCTTGAAGACCATAGTCAGATGAATGAAAGTTGCAAGGTGGGGAATAGACAGAGAATGACTCAGATTGGTACAGAGATGCCAAGGCATATAGAGCATTATGGGTGAGCATGAGGATTTTGAGTTACACTCAAAACCTGATAGGAAGCCAGTGCCAAGATTCCTGCACAGCAGTAATGTGATCACCTTCACGTGACCTGGTCAGGATTCTGGCTGCCAAATTCTGAACATATTGCAGTTTGTTCAGTGTGGATTTAGATATCCCAGCAAGAACAGCGCTGAAGCAATCAATTCTTGAAAAAACAAATACCAGCCTTTTCTGCAACAGACAAAGACAACATACAGTAGAATGCAGTCTGGTGATATTTCTGAGATGGAAGAATGTTGTTTCTACAATATTTTGCTCATGAGTGTCAAAATTCAAGCCACGATAAAATATTATCCATTAATTCTCCATTGTTGATTGAAATTCAAGCACAGATAAGGTTACTGCATTGGGTTTATGTATGTAATGGGAAGTACCAAGCAGCAGGACCTCAGTCTTGTCGCAGTTTAAGTGAAGGAAATTTGAGTCATCCAGGTTTTTACATCAGAGTGCAGAGACAGCTACTTCAGTGACAGTATTTGTATGGACAGCAGATTTGAGTATCATTAACACAAAAATCAGAATGACAACTGTAAACATGTAAATGCTGAATAGCAGGGGGCCCAGTACTGAGCCTTGGGGAACACCAGACTTAACAAACCCAACTTCCGAACTGAAACCCCCAAGAGAAACCAAAGTGTTGGTGATCAGTAAGGTAAGAGTAGAGCCATTTAAGAGCAATATCAGAAACTCAAAATACAATCTCAAGAGGGGAGGTTTAAATGTCATGGTGAACAGTATCAGAAGCAACACTTGGGTTTGGGAGAATTAGAATACATAGAGAAATGGAATCAGATGCCATAATGAGATCTTAAGTAACTTTAACAAGTGTAATTTCTGTGCTGTGTAATTGTGTAAAAACAGATTAAAAGGGTTTAAAGAGGTCATTTGAAATTAGCTAATTGCTAAATTGTATTGCAACAGCTTTTCCAAAAAATAAAAGTAAGCTATAGGACGAAAATCGTTTAAGTTGTTCTGAGCCACGTTTGTTTTTTTTAAGCACAAACCTATCAGAAGCCATTTTAAAGGCCGTTGGTTCTACTCCAGTGTTCAAGGATTCCTTTTTTATGTCGAGGATGGTAGGGCAGAGTGCTGGAAAACAGGACTGAAATTAAACAGAAGGAATGGGTTGTCTAACCAAATTTATAAGTCAGATTGTTCTACCCTGGCCCCGTTTGTTTTCCATCCATTGCCTTGTTTGTACTTATCTAGGTTTCCATTCTGATTTTATTTTGTGAGGTGTGTAAGGTTTCTTTTATTACAGCTTACAAAGTGTGAGTACAGTGTGTTCAAACAGATTCCACCACTGTTCGTAATCACTCGGTAAACCTGGTACAAAGGTGAATCCTATTATATTCTTAAAAAGGTGGAACATTTCAGAGCGGATCACGGTTCTCTCTTTCTAATCCCACAGAAAGTTTCAAACAGATTTGTCTACAGCATAAGGCAAGGAATCTAAAACATGTTTCAGACTCTATTAAAAGATTATTAAAAAACAGCTGGTGCGTTTGCAAAGCATCTCTCCATCTCTTAAAGCGGAACGCAGTCTGGAGATATTTCTGAGATGGAAGAATGTTGTGGTTCTGAACTTCTTTACTTTTGGAAGGTAAAAATGATTTTTCTGTGTTTAGAAAAACAGTATTATTCACTTTTGGAAGCAAGTCTCTTTGTATTTCCCCTACTCTGTAGAACCACTGCTGTCATGCAAGCATATAGAGAAGACAAACAGTCACCTACTATAGATATTTTTTGGAAGAAGGTTTTACAGAAAACAGCTGTTATCTATATGGGGGATTAGAAGAAAATGTGAAGTATGTCACTAAAGGGGTCATTCTTCACCAGCTGAAGGAAATTAAGGTAACACCTGTCCAATTCATCACAGCTCTAATCTAGGCTCTTGTCCAGGTAAACAACTTATTGCACTGATCTTTTCCTCCTGTATGTGTAGTATATTCTTAATGTCCTATGATAAGGCATCACAGTTTTATGTTCAAAGAGGCAATTTGAACAATGTCTAATTGAGACAAAAAAAGGGTACTGGACAATTAGGAACAGATTAAATGTCAATATGTTACAAAGAGGTATCCAAGTCCAAAAAGCTGTCAGATCATTCTGAAGAATAAAAGAATGTCTGACACTGAACCTTCACAACCTTAACCTTGACCATCCATCTAGGAGCAAGATCATTCTCACGTGTACACACTATAGACATTGTTTCCTTTCTAAAACCAAGATTGTTATATGGATCTTATCATACTCTTCCTTCTTAATTTTCTTATTTTTCCCGTTTCAAATACGTTTATTAACAGGCCTCCTTGAGCATTTATGAGTGGGAACGTATTCTTTGTTTTTTCTAACATGGCGTATTGTAACATCAGTTGTGGAAGTGCTTTGTGGTGATGCTTACTGATGACTCTTCATTTCATTTTTAAAAAAAAGGTAAATTGATATTTTACAAAATCTATTTGGCAAACATGCTTAATGTTGAACAGAACACATGTAAATTGCTGAACCGCAACTACTGGCATTCTTTTGAATGTCTGAGCCAGATATTTTGATTGAATCAGGTGGAGCGTGATAAAAGTCAGAACTAATTTGTCACTGTTCTGTGTTTCACGTTTTTAAACATTCTGTGTAGGGGTCCATATTTACTGACAGTCTTCTGTTGTTCCTCAGTTCCAAAATACTTCGACTGACTTTTACAAATAACAAATTCTAATCATAATAGTAAGATCTAATGTAAGATGGCAAACTTATGGGATCAAGCTCAGGATGCACTGCTGTTGGTATTTTAATTTAGTCTATTGATTGTACAAGGTATAGAGACGGTACTGAATTTGTTTATTATTATTGGGCTGTTGTCTATTCACAGTTAATTGATGTGTTACTCATGATGGGTCCTACACATAAATGTACATATATAGTCAGGGCACTACTGTTTTCCGTATCCATAAAAGTTCACAAAGCTTCAACTTTTTTTTTACAGAAATAATCTGTTACAGAATTTTTTGGACGAAGAAGCAGGTATATGCAGACCATTATGTTTTTATTAGTCTGCTGTCAAACACGGTCGTGCTGTTGATGTGGTTTTGTGAGTTTAGTTTTCGCCTGACTTCTGATTCATTTCTGAGAAAAAAAAGTTGCCAATTCAAATAGGTTTAGCAATTTTCAAGCACGATATGTGCTCAGCTCTTTGACCTTATTCAGAGCAGTTTAAAACTGTATAACGTCCTCCACCGGGAAGCCTTTTACAAGGTCATTATCACCATTACAATCAAGACAAACACACAGACGAATTCCTCTGCAACTCTCCCTGAAATAATTAGGCCTCCTAATGGGCTTTAATGTATTGTTAGCTCAGAGTTATTTTTAGTAAACAGAATTTCCTAAATGCACATCTCTAAAGAATAATAAAAGTGACAATGTCGTTGATACCATTTGAGGCTCTAAAGTTCGTTCTGGATGGTCCTCTTTAATTGCTTGCTTAAAGCAGTCATTTAGTCAATAATTTTGTTTCGAGTTCAGATTTCACTGAATTCTATTGTGTTGCAGTCACAAGGGTTACATTCCTTTCCAGAGCATAAACCATAAACAATATTTAAAGGGGGGTTATTTTTAACACCTCTATACCTGTTTGGTTTTGTGTAAGTTATTTTTCACATACCTGCAGTGGATTGGGCCATTAGCTCGCAGACCCCTTCTCTGATACTTTCAGCCGAAGTGCATCAGCACAGAAGGACACTCTGTCCCATGCAAACACAGGTTGAGCCATGTGTTAGTATCGGAAACATAAACGCAAGACTCCACTTGTGTCCTCCAGTGACACCCACTTCCAATCAACCACTGTGCGAATCGTAGAGATTTTGCCACATCTGATCTACACCATGCTATCCTGGGAACATGCCATCTCTGTGACCCCCTGCCCTTCCTGTGTGCGTGGTGCAGAGAACAAGAATAAAGCTTACTGCGGCTTGCTGGAAGGCTCCCTTTGTGTAGGTCCCACCTCCCCGGTATCTGATGGCGGGGATCTCCTGGTTGAAGAGGGCGCACTTGTGTTGGTGGGGCTGAGGAGAGGAGATGTAGTCCACCCGAGTCACCACGTTGCTCTTCGAGGAAAAGGTCACTATGGCCACCCTCGTGGCGGAGGGCGCCACGGGGAAGTCCGAGAGGAGCTTCTTGACGAACCTCAGCTCGCTGAGGAAGTTGCTGTTGCCCACGCTGGAGGACTCGTCGACCAGGAACACCAGGTCCAGGCTGAGGCTCTTCTCCCGCAGCGTCCTGACGTTGCGCTTGAAGTACTGGCCCAGACGCTCCACTTTGCTCTCCGAGCTCTCCTGTTGCTGCCTGGGCTCAGCCAGTGGGAGCACGTGGCTCAGATTCAGGTGTGGGTGTTTATAGAGGGAAAACTGAGGAAGCACCGGCAAGCTGCCCGCTGCGTGGAGATAAAAATAGAAAACGAGAAGGCGCCACATTGCAACACGTTTTTCTTATATATATTTACACAGAACAAAAAAAAAATCGGTTCCTTTTCCTCTCCCTTTCAAAGTCCACCTTTTCACTTTTTAGGTTAGCTCTCTAATGAGGTGCGTGCTGGCCCTGTTCTCTCAGATGAAAGGGAGTTTCATTTCACCCCCAGGCACTGGCTGTGCATCTGACTGAGACCGAAAATGCTTTTCCCTCTCTTTCAAAACCATTTTAAAAAAAGTTCTGAGAAAAAAAGGGGGCAGTCACAGCGATTTTTTTTTCTTCCTCCTTTTTTTTTCATGCTTGACTTACTTAGGTTCTATGTCACCAGAGCCCCATGCCTGTCAGGCTGTCAACATTCCCAAAGAAAACATCAGCACCACGAGTCTGATTGATACCATATGTCTGGCATTGGGCTGCACAGACATCCACACTGCAGTCCAGATACCAGAAGTGCCATTGTAATTAGAAACACTTTGTAGAGAGAGAAAACGGATAAATGTCTTCAGTTTACTTCAGCTGATGCCTCACTTCGGCAGCCTACTGTTTCGCCAGTCACAAAATATGGGACATGTAGTCAAATTAAACAGAGTATGCTTTCACTGCAATACTTTGCGATGCATGACACTACGAGTGGTGAAAGAGCGCTGTGATATCGTCCCATGTGGCTCGTTCAGGAAAAATCATAAATTGTCCTTAACAAAAGCAAGATCTTCAGTTTTACAACTGACAAATACCACTACGGCACAAACATGACATGGTGGTAATTGCATTCTGTAGATGCCTTGTATAGACTGGAAGTCAATCTTAAACAGTGACAGCAGATTAAGACTCCCCACAGAGTTACTTCATTACTGGCTTTTGACATTTAGGTTTTGACAGCAAAGTGCCTACAGCACTTATGTTTTTTTTTTAATGATCCCTTATTTTCCAGACCGAAAAAAATCCACATACTTAATTTCCCAGAGTTAGGGAACCACTTTAGAAAAACGGTGATATTTTATCTGTTCAGCTGTTGCTTCCTTTCCTAATTATCCTCACAGACACAATACGGTTGGATGGGAATGAGCCCTCCTGTTGTCTGTCTCACAGGGGTGTGAAGAGTGTGTATTAGAGTGGACTGGGAAGTGTACTATTACGGCTTCTTATCAAGACGGTTTTAGGAGTTTTGCACTGTATCACCAGACCTTTTGTATGCAAGTCTGAGTCAATGGCCTTGTTATGCGCTTCACCACAGTGCATGCAGTTCTGATGCATTCTTAAGTGAAAACATGTTATGACCACATAGTTTAATCTTTAGTTGCTCCAGAACCATAGTTTTGAACAGGTTGTGCCACATGTCGAGTAATGCATCACCGATTTAATGCAGAAGTGGAAAGGGTAGCAGTTTCAAACCATTGCAAACGATTTACTGTATGAAATTATGCCTTATTACTAAATTCTTTTTTGACTAGCTATGGAATCTTCTTGCAGAATACTACAGCGTTTTTAATGTAACTGAGCTAAAGCTTTTGACAGCCTAATATTATTTTCCATATGTCATTCCTCAAAAATATTTGTGTTACTATGGTCAGAAAATCAGAATTAAACATCCAAACACTAAATTGTTTCTGCAGATACATTTATTACTGTGTTGCAACAGAGCAGCATTATTTCGAAGCCAATATGGAGATACCAGTGGATTTAGCACTCATCAGTACTTATATCATTAGTTCTTTGGGATTTCTTAATACAGCATTCACACGGAGGCACTGGAATGTGATTAGGAATGCTCATAGTTCTTCGTGTGGTCCAGTCTAAATATCCATGCATTTTGTCAAAGTACTGTTTCTGAACCTGATCAGGTGTTAGAGCTACAATATCAGAAAGCTATGGAATATTGCCAATAATCTGTGAGTTACGGAATGATTTATAGGAGATATGGATGTGTAGCACAATAGATTTTTACTTTGCAGCACAGGACTAAAGAGTAAAGCTTTAAACCAACAATTATGCAGAATGAGATACAAATTGTATATTTAGCTTATTGATTATTGCACTCTTTTCTTTTCCCCCTTTTAATTGTTTTTCCTATTTTTTTACCTCTTTTGACTCTTCCCCCACCTCTCTCCCTCCGTCTGGGTGTTTTTCTGAATTTGCCGTTGGTGTGAATTGAAAGAGCTTGCCCATTTCAAGAGGCTCACCTGTCCCCTCTTATCTCTGATGGCTGATTGTTGGGACAGATGTGGAAGAAAGGCATTCCAGGCATTTCTATGTGTCTACAGAGGTCTCACAAAGAGCTCCGTATCATAAACAAAGCTGAACAGAGCTGTTTTTCCTACACTTTGTTTATCACTCTTCTGGGGCTCCGGCCAGTGTCATCTGCCTTAGTACTACATCTCTGAACAGAGTCAGCAAGTTGCTAAATGGGATAAAGTTATTCCAATAACATTACATAGACAACAACAAACATCCTTCTGCTATCTGATTCAGTGAAGTGTGCAATGTCACTCTCACAGAAGTAGTTACAAACAAATGTAATGTTAATTTTTTATTTGTGTTGCCAATTATAGCTCTCATCAAGAAATTAAGAATGTGCTTTCACTAGGAAAACATACTTAATGTCCTTGTTTTACTTGCTTGACATAATTGATTATTTTGAAGGAAGAATCGGGGCAACTTCAAGAAACTGATCATCCTGTATTAAATTAGAACAGTGGTCTCATTCAATGATTAATTTGCCAAAACAAACAACTTTATAAAGCACAAATTCTAAGTACTTTACATACTTTGATGTGGTGCTCCAGAGACATTTACAACTTTTGTGCAATCATCTCAGTTTCTCATAAACAAGAACGTTTTTATTTATTTTTTACAAAGCTAAAAAGAAGCTGCTTGAAAATGTCCCCATGATTTGAAATGCGTTGCCCTTTTTTTGTGATGCGCAGCTCTGTGGCTTGTGGGTGTACTGTATTGTCTGTATGTGGTTTCAATTTGATATCTCTCTGCTCCTGGGAATCTTTCTAGACCCCTTTGCATGCTTTACCACCACAGCTGTAGATTGAGCATCCCCCTTCCTCCACTACAGAGGGATTTGGAATGTTTGCCCCCAAGCATCCCTGTTTTGTTCACTGTCAAACACAATTGTTATCTATTCCCCCTGGCCTTTACCATTCATGGCCTCCTAATAATCTCCATCTGTGAACTGGCTTAATCTCTGTGCTCTCCTCCCCACTGATAGCTGGTGCGTGGTGAGCCTACTGGCGCGGTTTGGCTGCTGTAACATCTTCCAGGTGGGGGCTACACTTTGCTGGTGGGAAGTCTTCTTTACCTGTGTAGCGCTTGGAGTGGAGTGTCCAGAAAAGCACGACAGAAGTGTCATGGTGATGATGATGATGATTAACTATTTAAGAAGATAAGTCAGTTTTCATACATTTCCTTGACTTGTCCAAGAGCCTAACTCCAGTGTAACACAGAAGAGAAACACAGAAATGAAAGAAAATACATATTAAGAGTGGATTGCATTACAGGTGTTAACAAGCGAAAGTGATGAGTTTTCCACAGTTCAACAGACAGAATAGTTCTAAGCGCATGACAGAAAATACTCAAAGATGGGATGATTCAGCTCACGCTGCTTATTCTTGGCAGGGACAAGTTAAAATGACTTGCACGCTAAGTCAGTAGTTGCTTCTGGGAGGTTCAGTCTGATAAATTCAAAGATGTACTCCTTCTTACATTTTAGAATGATACAGATAATTGTGATATATTATCAAGAAAGAATAGGGGCTTCGTTTCTCTGGTAACAATCTGTAAATTAATTTAAACCAGTGAAATATCTATCCAGTAC